TAATGTTGATTTGCACATGAGTCATAGTCCTTTGTTTTCTTTGAAATAATAATGTCTCTTTTGCAGATATACCCATTGGGAACTGGCAACTTTACCACGTAACACTGAAAGTAACCAAAAAATTCAGAGTGGTGTTTGAAGGGGTCAGAGGCACTAGTACATCATTGGGTGGCCTATCTATTGATGACATCAATCTTTCGGAAACACGGTGCCCTCATCATATCTGGCATATAAGGAATTTCACACAGTTCATTGGCAGCCCAAATGGAGATCTATATAGCCCTCCATTTTACTCTTCTAAAGGTTATGCCTTTCAGATTTACTTGGATCTAAAACATTTGACTAATGCAGGAATATATTTCCACTTGATCTCTGGAGCCAATGACGATCAATTACAGTGGCCGTGTCCTTGGCAACAAGCCACGATGACACTCTTGGATCAAAATCCTGACATTCGACAACGTATGTCCAACCAGCGGAGTGTAACTACAGACCCATTTATGACCACCGGTTCGTGACTCATTTTCTTTATTGCTAATATACGATCATTGCTCTCAGGGGGACGGATGATTTGGGAATGAGAGACTGCACAGTCAAGTACCTAGGGAATTTTGAACCCAAAACTTAGGGACAGAAGATATTTAGCAGAAGGGCTTCAGCAGTTGTGGACAGACTTTCCCAGGCAGGATTCTGTCAGGAATGCCAGCCAGGTTGCTGACAAATAGAGAAGATATTGACTGTATTCGGGGAATTGAGGACCATGCCTGAATCCCCAGTGTTGTGCCAGGAGTGTTGGTTTTATAGTCTGACATGCCTGAGTTCAAATCCAAGGCTTGCTTCTCTTTAGCTAAGCAATAGACCTTGAGCAAATAAACTCTTGGAGTCCTAGTGTCCTCAGCAGTAAAACTGGGGCAGTAATAACAACCTCATGGATTGGTAGAATCCCTAGAGATCAAGCCCGGGAGCTCGTGAAGAGGCCTGGCATGGAGCGGCCCTCAGCTGGTGAGTTCTCCTAATCCATGCTACCCTGATCTTGCCACTGGCATTGTCAAAACCAAGTCAGCCCTTGTAATCGTGGATGGTTTTTGATTAGAAGGAGGATGTTGAGCCAGTGCTCCGTAGTATTGAGAAGGGTTGGGAATGGATTATAACTTTTTTTTTGAAGATTTTTTTTTTAATTGAGGAATTGGGGGAAGGGAACAGTGTTGGGGAATTGGGGGAGGGGAACAGCCAAGTTGTTCTTCAATCTTAGCTGTGGAAGGCGCAGAAAGCTCAGCTCCAAGTCCAGTCCAGCTGCTCAGCTCAAGGTGCTGTGTTCAATTAGTTGCGGGTGGGCATAGCCCACCATTCAAAAGGAGATCCTTGTTGTTAGGAGCACAAGCTCTCACCAGCTGAGCCATCCTGCCACCTGTTGGCAGCTCAGTGGCAGCTCCGCTCAGGATGCAGTGTCACTGGCCCATGTGGAAATCAAACCGGCGGCCCTGTTGCTCAGAGCCTGCGCTCTTGGGCAAGCTCTTAACCAACGAGCCACTCTGCCGGCCCTGGATTATAACTTTTTATTAAAGAGTTCTGGAAGACTTGCCAATGGTGAAATCATTCTGCATCTTCCAGTCTCAGGAAGGAGCAGTACCCAGAAAGCAATGATCACATCTAATTTTAAAAATCCTTTGCCCTCTGGAAAACCAATAAAGGAGAAAAAGTGGGATTATGGCAAGGTGAATATTATTGCCAAATCTGAATTCTATATATGAAAAAATGAACTTTGTTACCTTAAAAAAAAAAAACCCCAATCTGATTGAAAAAAAAATAGTATTCATCAAAAGGGTTGTAGGTACTTGATGTTCAGAATTTCTTTAATTTTTTTTTTCCCAAAACTTTTCTCCCTGAATGACATTGGGTGGGTCATCACCTTTTTCTGAAGCAGTGCTTCTCTCTGCTTTCTACTCCTAAAGGACTTTGCTCTGTTAGGTGAATAACCAGTTAAGAAGATAAATTGTTCTATGCTCATATTAAAAACTCTCTCAGCAACATATTGATTTAACTAAGATAGAAGGACTATGTGTAACTCAGAAGGCCTCCAAGGAACATTTCTGATGGGCAGGGGTGTTTCTATACTGGATGTCAGTATAGGTATGATACCCTATCTAGGAATCTTTTGGTACCTCTTAACTCGTACTCCAGAATGTAGTCCTTCTTGCCAGGCAATCTCATCTCCTTTAGAAAAGTATCAATGCACAAGCCTGCCAGGTCACTATCACAGGTCAATAGCAT